CCTTTCTGTAAGGAATGCATCATAAAAAATGTACTGCCCAGCTGCTTGGAATATCAACTGAGCAACAACACGGTCTTGTGTGATCTGACATAGTAGGTGTGCTGGAGTGAATACAAAAACACATACAGTATGGCTGCCATTTTACAACAAGATTGGAGAAAATATTAACTGTGGAATGCATGCCCCAAGGCAGGTTGTGCACCCTATCTTTTTTATTTCCCTTTAAAATAAAACTATGGATGGATGGATGGATGGATGGATGGATGGATGGATGGATGGATGGATGGATGGATAGATAGATAGATAGATAGATAGATAGATAGATAGATAGATAGATAGATAGATAGATGGAGTGTAATTTTAAGGTTAGTCCCCATCTGTTTTAAGCTCAGTTGTGTGTTTTTAAAAAATATTTTTAGAATGTTTTTCTATGATTTTTGGTAGGAGCCGCAGAGGGCGACTCTCCAAGGTTCTGCTGATACCAGTGCGACTCCATCTCCGTACAATCCTAAAGCTACTTGTTAGTTAGTGCTATGTTGAGAGTTAATTATGTATGGACTTCATTGTGGGATGAATGCCATACCACATCCTTTCATCCCTCTTAAACATTCTGCTTATCAGTGGCCAAATCCTATGTAAACAATAAGCTTCTTCCGAATTTTGAGATGTCTCTTGGGAAGCTTTAAGTTGATTACTATCTCATAATAATGAACAGTCATGTATTTCTGCTCCATGGCTCAGCTAGATAATAAAGTGATGACAGTGAATTTCTAGGAATTTAGGGAGATTCTTGGAGTTGAAGGAAGAGAGCTGGATGGTCCTGCATAGAGGTGTCATTACGCAAATGTGTCAGGATTGAATTGCTTTCATTGCCAGAATTTCAGAATCCCAACAGTCTGCTAGATGGTGTGGATCAGTGTTTCCCAAATGCTGATCTCTCAGGTATTTTGTATTTCAGCATTCAGAATCACTGATCATTGGCCAAGGCAGCTGAGGCTTCTGGGAGTTGAAGTCCAAAGCACCTGGAGGACTAGAGTTTGGACTAGTGTAGATAAAATTAAGCTAGAGGAATCCAGTGGTCCATCACTATGATTAAACACTAATCCAGTGGTTCTGTGGGCCGCTATGCATAAGCTGAGAGGTGACATGAAGAAAGTCTACCTCCTTTGTCCCTGATCTCAACATGGTTAATTTATTCTCTCAAGTATTAACAGCTATGGGTTGCTGTGAATTTTCTGGGCTATATGGCCAAGTTCCAGAAGAAAATATTAATAGTTATCTTCTGCTGATAATGAATGGATGAGTCTGAGTGCCTTAGTTGGTTCAAATAGGTATGCAATTCCATATCTAGACTGGGTTCTTTGAAGCTACAATTGTTGAACCAAACCTATAACCAGTACAACCAGCCATGATTTCATCAGTCACGCGCAACATTACATTTGGCCTGGATTTTCTTTTTCAGGTTGTCTATCAAATAAGAGAGAGATCTCCTATCATAATACTAAGAAAGAAATGTGAGCTACTCTTATCTGCCTTTTCTTCATCTGCTCAGGGTGATATGGTTTATCTGAGAAGCTCTTATATTTATATAAAATGATTTTTTCCAGTTAATATAAATTCTATCAGCCAAGACCAAAATTAATGCTCTGGTGTTTGATGACGAATCGATTCAAGAATGGGTAATGGAAAGGACACTGAATGCTGCAGGAAAGAAACATATATTTATCTAAATTAAATATCCACTTTCCAAGCTCCTCTCCTGATATAATCCTTCAAGAAACAAGGAAAAAAAGGAACGTGGGTGGGGGTGGGAGGATTGGGGAATTAAATGACTGGTTTCTTGCTCTGCCCTCCTGCGCAGGGGGAGCTGGTTAATGACTAGAAATTACACATCTTCTCATTTCACAGAGAGATGGATCATGGAAAATTCCATTTCTCCCCCTGTGAAAAACCCTTGCCAACAGTCCCCATGGGATCCCAGAGCCTCCAAATATAATACAATCACCAACCTGCAGTTTTAAATTAACTCGATGCGTTCCTTAAGCCTCCCCCACCCGTCTCCCCCCCACACTCCTTCCCTTCCCAAAAGGAAATACTCTTGCTAATGCTACAAATAAACTTGTCAACCCTCTGCAATTACATTGGGTCATTCTAATCTTATTATTTTGAACTAGTCCCATGAGAGTGTTAAATTATATGGCAAAAGTTCAATGCAATGCAAATGTATTCAGAAAAAAAGGTTCAGTGGGATTTATTCCCTGGTAAATGTGCATAGTATAGCATCGCATGAGAACCAAAGTGATGCAGTGGTTTGAGCATTGGACCTAGGATGCTGGAGAACAGGGTTCAAATTATTCCTCAACCATGGAAATCCACTGGGCAACCTTGTCAAGTTATATTCTTCCAGTCTCTGAAGACGGCAGTGGCAAATCTGCCCTGAACAAACCTGTCCAGTAACAATAGCGTCTCAGTAGTGTTAAATCTAAAGAATGCCGCTAAGGCATTTTAGTTATATTGCATTAATTTTGCAAATAAAACAACAACAGCAATGAATTTCATAGAAATTATAAACACTTCAGCAAACAAAAAAATCTGAACAAAGCTGCTGCCTCGAAAGCCATGGCACCTATATTTTCTCCCATTTATCAGTGTGTCATATTAATTCATATTACTGTTTTGTTTTCATTTTATTTAATTCCAGGAATTTATCACTACTTTCTAGATTTCCCTGAATTTCTCTAAGTTGCTTCTGAACCTAGATGAGTTGCGTCATTGGGATGTTGTGTGGTTTCTGAGCTGTATGGTTGTGTTATAGCAGCATTTTGGAGCACAGTGCCACCTATATGCGGATGACACTCAACTCTACTACTCCTTTCCACCTAAAGCTAATGAAACTGTCCTGACCCTAAACCTGTCTGTCATTACTAATTGATTGGATGAGGGTAAACACACTGAAATGTAATTCAGACAAGACAGGGGTGCTCCTGGTTAGTTGGAAGGCAGACCAGGGATTAGGGGTTCAGCCTGTGCTGGATGGAGTCACATTCCCCCTGAAGACACAGGTCTGCAGTTTGAGGGTCTTCCTGGACTCAGCACTGAATCTGGAGGCTCGGGTATTTGTGGTAGCCAGGAGGGCCTTTGCATAATTAAAACTTGTGCGCCAACGGTTCTCGTCCCTTGAGAAGCCAGATCTGACCACAGTGGTCCATGTCTTCATTACATTCCATCCTGATTACTGTAGCACACTCTACGTGGGGCTGCCTCTGAAGAGATCTTGGAAACCTCAGCTGGTCCGAAGAGCTGCAGCCAGGTTGCTAACTGGGGCTATCTACAGGAAGCAGACTACCCCCTTGTTGCAGCAGCTCCACTGGCTGCCAGTCCTTTTCAGGAACAATTCAGAGTGCTGGTTGTGACCTTTAATACCCTAGATGGTTCAGGTCCAGGCTGTTTGGCTGACCACCTCCCCTTGTACGAACCTGCCCGGGCCCGGAGATCTTCAGGAGAGGCCTTTCTCTCGGTCCCATCTCCATCTGAAGCCCGGTTGGTGGGAACGGGAGAGCGGGCCTCCCTTCTCAGTGGCTGCCCTGGAGCTCCCTTCTTCGCAGGGAAACCACAATAGCTCCCTCCCTGCTGTCCTTCTGGCGGCAGGCTAAAATATTTTTATTCAGACAGGCTTTTAAAGATGAAGATCTAGTCAGGGGGTCCTGTGGTTTATAACTTTGAATATGTTTTAATTGATTTTAACTGTTGTTTTTTAGTGCTGTTTGTGTTTAATTCTGTTTAAATGTTTGCATGTTTGAATATTTAAAATTTTATATGAAGGCATTTATGTAATGCTGCTTTCAGTCCCCTTTGGGAGAGATAAAATGGGGTATAAATAAATAAAATTTAAAAAATAATAGTAATTCTCCCCTGATGTTTCACCTCCATCTGCAGCTGGCATTCCAGTCACAGATGCAGGCAAAACATCAGAGAAAATGTTGCTAGAGCATGGCTGTACAGCCCAGAAACCACACAACACCCCAGTGATTCCAGATGTGAAAGCCTTTGACAATACAGTTACCTCATTGTTTTCATTATCCCTGAATATTCTGTGTAATAGAGTGTCAAGAGTGCTAGACCTCAACAGCATGACCTGGTGATCTTGGGACACTTAGGCTTGATCTATCTTACTCTGCCATATAACCCAAAGCAGATAATCTGCATTCAGAAACTGGGTTATATGGCAGTGTAGGTGTCTGTCTCTTGGCCATCTACTTCACAAAACAATTGTGAAGATTAAGTGAGATTAGGTTAAGATTGGAATTATTGGAGAAAGACTGGGATTGAAAATGCAATAGATAATATTGCCCAAATATGTCTACAAAATTGGTGCTGCATTACTAATACTGTGGTCCTTTGCATGTTTACCCAGAAGATGGCGCTTTTCCGGAAATAAGTCCTGCAAAAGTCAGTTTATCTCAGTGTTTCTCAACCTGGGGTCCCCAGATGTTTTTGGCCTTCAACTCCCAGAAATCCTAACAGCTGGTAAATTGGCTGGGATTTCTGGGAGTTGTAGGCCAAACACATCTGGGGACCTCAGGTTGAGAACCACTGGTTTAGATAAACTGAAAAGATAGATAGATAGCAAGATAGATAACTAGATAGTGTAGTACGTGTAAATGTGCCCCTGTGAGTCCAGTAGGTGTGCTTTTTCCACAGTGGGTGAGCCATCTTTTCTGTTTTTGTGTACAGGATGGAGAATTGGTGACCTTGGCAGATGTTTTTGCACTATAGATTCTACTTTTCTTGACCTATGGCAGTGGGTCTGACAAGAGTTGGTTTTCCAGCAGTACCTGGAAAAATGTTTCCAAGAAAACCTCATGATAGGTTCATTTAAGGGTCTTCTTAAATCAACTTGAACCTTGTTGCGTAGATGATGGACAATCAGTTATCTGGTTGGAAATGCACCAAAGCACTCAGCCTAGTCAGCCACTTCCTTTGCTCTTCTCTCCTTCCAGGAACCCCCAGGTGACGGCGGTGGCAGCAGCGGCTGGAGCAGCAGCAAAGTGACAGAGCCCCTCCCACAGACCTGAAATGCTGTTTCTCAAAGAGGAATAAACTGGCACCAGAACAAGATGGCACCCAAGAGAACTACATCTGTCTCCTTTAATTATCCCGTGTACATATTAGTGAGTGGAAGTGCTTTATTGTTTCTATAGCTAAGGCCAGCAAAGCTATAGAACACCAGGTGTGCATAAGCACTCTCCCTGAAGTATAGGCAGGCAAATTTAAATCACGTACACTGTGACGGGGGGAGGGAATATCTTTAATTTCCCCAGGGGGAAAAAGTTAAACCAATCACGACTGTTATAGTTCATACACATGTATAGCTCTGGGGACTTACAGTGTTTGTTTGCCTTGCAGAGGACATTCCATCAAATGACGCTGAGTTTGTTTGTTTCCACCTTTTATACTAAAGTGACAACAGAAAGCTCTAGTATTTGAACTCTGCAAGTACTTTTGTGCTCATATACCACTTGTGCGTAACTTTGTGCCCTTGTTTCATTCAAAACACTAGTGATGTGTGTGCATAAGTGCTTGCAGGATCTAGGTCCAGAATTGTATCCGCATGATCCATTCACATCCTTTCAGGATACATCCGATCACAGTAAACTTAGCCTAGATTTTGAAATTTTAACTATGGGTCTGGTTCTAGTCTTGTCCATCATTACTGCTTTTATCTGCTGTTAACTCCTGTAGCCTGGAGTTTCTCTGGAATTATATCAACAGTGTTTCCAATTCTCACTGTTTTGTTGTGAGTCTTGTAATACAATCTAGTGTTTCCTCCCCTTTACCGATCCAACTCCAGGAGTCATGAGATTACAGGAGAGCCTTTCAAGGAGATTTAGCCAAAGCCTGAAGATGTAAAGCAAGTGCAACCAAAAAAAGAAAAAAAAGAAACCAAAACAAAACAAATGATGTATCAAAAGAATATATCATCAGTGTGTGCATTTCTGGACATCTACTGATGCCTAAGATATTGTACTGTGGATATGTGGGTGTGAAGCATGAGTTTTAGCCCATTCTAAAACTTGGCTTTAAGTCCCACTGAGTTCCATAGGGCTTCCTTATAAAATGAGTGTGTATGAATGAGTCTTTGTTATACATTCAGGTTATGATCTCTATTGGCAGTTATAACTGAGTAATTCTCATGGAAGTGGATGAGACTTATACAGTCTAAACTGTGCATACGATCACAACTTTAGAGTTGGCAATAAAGCACCAGGATCAGATTAATAGAATAAGAATTTTTAAGGGTTTTTTTCCTTTTATTTTACCATGACTCAGTTTGGGATTACTTCTGGTGTTGAAGAATTCCAGAAAGAAGAGTTGTCACCTGGACAGGAACCAATAAACAAAACCACAGAATTGTTAGTTACCACATCTTTAACAGGCACTTGATCTAAGGGACAGAGATAAGTATTGTAGTTCCTAATGACTGTGGTTGGATCCACATTGCCATATAATGCAGTCAGTATTTGCATTATATGGTCGGTGTAGGCCAGTGGTTCTCAACCTGTGGGTTGCCAGATGTTTTGGTCTTCAACTCCCAGAAACCCTAACAGCTGGGAAACTTGCTGGGATTACTGGGAGTTGTAGGCCAAAGCACCTGGGGACCCACAGGTTGAGAACCACTGGTGTAGGCCCATATAATGCAGTTTAACTGCATTGAACTGCATTATATAAGTCTGCACACTGATCATGTAATGCAGCTTCAGATTGCATGATATAACAGTATAGATCCAGCCTGTGAAATCACTGGCTCTGAAGGCACAAGAACAGGGACGTTTTTTAAAAATACGGTGTTTTTCTTTCTTTTTAAAAATCTCTATCAAATGTACATCAATCAGCTGGAAAATGTGTATTTGCATGGCACTTTCAAAAAAATTTAAAATAGCATTATTCAAAACCTGTGATCTTAGAGAGGTTGAGAGCTGAAACAGATCTCGTATTAAATGATAACCATATACCATAATCTCAAAATGCTTTAAAATTCATTTTCAAAGCAGAAGAAAACATTATTTTTGGAAGAGAAATTACACACAGAATAACTGACTAGCCTTTGAAGCAATACTTTGGAATTCAACTTTCCAGTCCCTGTGAGTTTCAGTTCATAACAATTTCTCTTGGCTTCTCTCACTGTTTTAATGATTGTGGGAAAAGCCTGACTGTTAGATTTCATTTGTATTTCGTACATAGAAATCAACTCTCTCTCGCTCGCTTTGTTTTTCTCTCTCAATAACTAAATTGGCTTTATTATAAATGAGGAACAGACAAGCATAAAAGAAAAACGAATATACTGCACTGTGTGTGCATTATTATTTCTCTGTGGAAAGCCACAGATGGGAAATTAAAAACAGTGGAAGGAAGCAGAGTTGGTACCACCAGAGTGTAGAATTGGGTGGTTAGCAGAAGATGCCGCTAGTCTTTACTGACTCATCCATTTAACTCCATTCCTCCCAAGCCTGTTTTCAACTGTAAGGATCCCTCGGGGCAGGAAGCTGTTCATCATTTGGATTGTCTGTTAATAGCCATGCACAAAAAATGGCACTGTGTAAAAAAATAAATATTAATACATATTATTTACCCGTGTATTTTATAAAATAGGCTTTTGGTGCTATGAAAAGTGATTTGTGAATGTTTCTTCCTAATCGTACTAAATCCTCTTGTTTACTATCCAACATACTGGCTGATCCCTATTGTAATTTTCCTCTGTATTATTTGTATGACTTATGTATGCTGTCAATATGCTGTCTTGTGGTTTTCTTTAATCTTTATACATCTGTTCCTTGTTATGAGTGTCACCATTCTGTGTTTGTTTTAATCTTAATGTAATACAACAGCATCCAGTGAGATAGGATCACTGAAAGAATGGTGGTGGTAGGGAGGGTGTTGGACTAACCCGGGGATATGATACATATAGCCTTTCAGATGTTGGAGCACAACTCCCATCCTCCTCAAACAGAATGGTCAATGCTCGGTGGTGATGGAAAATGTGATCCAAAAATATCTCAAGGATCAAAAACATACCTGCACCAGTTCATTAATCCACTAAACATTTGATATGTGTTTTGAAAGAGCTGAGCAAAAGCTGATGACTCCAGGGCTTAGGATTTGAGGGGCTGTTTTTGGAAATATGAAGATTTCTCCCATGTAAAGGAGCTGGATTAATATACAGGGAGCTCTGCAGTAGCAAGGAGCTTCAATTCTATTTCATAAATGAGCTTTTTTTGTTTCTTAATACTCTGTCTGAAAACCAAAGTGGCAACATAAAGGCCCCCTACCTACTTGACTAGAGTCCCACAGGGACATTAAGAGCAAAGGTACCAAATGAATGCATAGTCGTCATCCCCACAATAACATTGTCTGACCATTGCTCATTATTCTTTTACCCTTTTCTCAAAAACAAAGCCTTTGCTTTGTTATCTAATGGTGTTGATTCTTAGTTCTACGACAGTCACATGTACCCTGTGTTATAAAGTGTTACACATAACAATGAATTTATGCTGAGAAGTGGATTATTACAATGTACTGGGGGCAACCAATGGTTGCTAGCTCCTTCCAATCTCATGGCCAGTTGACCAGTTGTCACAGAATATAGCATTCAACCAACATTTAGATGACTCTCCCATATAGCATTTAATATTCCTATCTCTTGTGTAAAACAGAAAACAAGACATAAACAAACTGGCTCCCGCCCTCCCTGGGAACTGAAATTCTGGATAAAGATCAATCAGAAATTTCAGCATCCTCACCAAAACCACTGTTCTCTGATGGAAACTATGACTGTTACACTCACAAAATTTAACATATGTTTATAATGGCAGGCACAGCTTCATCTGCTTCATCTTTACACCAAATCAAAGTGCAACCCATAGCCACCCTCCCTGTCCTGTCCTCCCCCCCCCCCAAAAAAAAAAACATGTCAAAATACCCTCCATGCCTCATAGAGATGTTTTGGAGCAAAACATATTTTTATGTGGAGGATGTGACAGGGATGTGCTCTTCTACAGTCCCAAGGATGGGGGGCTCATGTGTCCCACTAGTTTTTAACAGCTGTCCACTCCTGCTTCTCATCCTCACATGTGGCATGATATTTCTGAACTTAATACATTGGGGGCAAGGAGCTAATTCACAGCCTCCAAAGTATACAAATATGTTCAAACAAAACTCAAGCCAGCTGGGCAACATCACAGCTTTTTCAGAGGCTTCTCTTCAAACACTGAATTTGATAATTAGAGAATGGGGAAGCCTGCATTACAGTAAATTTTGCAGCTTTTCTTGTTGTCTCAATTGTGGACTGCTCTCCTAAAAACAATCCTACATCACCTGTCTTTCTGCATTTGGTGCTCTGCCTGTGGAAATCTCATGGAAGCCAGACACAGAAAGTTAATCAACCCAAGTCACCTAGGGGAGAAAGTATAATTATTATTATTATAAGTCTTCAGATAGAACAAATCCATATTATTCAAAAAGATGTTTTGCAGGTATTTCTGACACATGTTTATATTCTCAGTTGAATTTGATGACCAAGCTTCTATATATTAGAGGTTACATATCCATCAGATCACCAGATTTGTTGTTCTGATGTCATTGTTATTTCCTGTAGATACATGTGTGCAGAGTGTCCGCAGGAAACAACAATGACATCAGAACAACAATTTGTAAATACCCTTCAGTGACATCCCATGTTGACCAAATTAACGTTAAACAGAACCACTGTTTTGAAGCCGAGAGAACACTCCCTTCTTCCCATCTAGTCTAAGTATATATCCCAAAAATATTAACAGAATCTTTATGTTTGTCTACTCAGACATATGCACAACTGCATTCAATGGGATTCCTAGTAAAATGGCTAAAGAAAGCTTTACTTTCTTAACCAAGTGTTTACCACTATTAGATGGGATGTTGTTAGCTTTTGCTAGAATAGATAAAATAATCTTCCCAGCAGACAAAAGGGCCTAATTGGACATGCTTGTCAAAAATTAATAGTTTCTGGTAGTGGGAGTTTAAGTACTTTCTCCCTAGCTTAGTAAAACTCAGAATATTATCTCCCCAGCAATTAAAATTTGAAACAAGTTTTCCATTAGTGTCAAAGCAATATGTGCTGGTCTCAGTTCATCCGATATTTCTCTTTTTAAAGAAAAATAATTCTTTTGAATATGATAGTTTTGTAAGATCCAAAGTGGGGGCAGATTCTTGTTGTAGGTTCCACATCCCAGGCCCAAGAATCCTGATCATGAAGGATTTGAAATCACAAAATGATACAGTCTAAGCAATTAGAGATGTTTATATGTATCTTAGAATTAAAGAAATACAGTACTACTCTTGCGGGAGCTGATCTTTCAGAATGTCCATGCCAACATGGACAATATGGCCATGCAGTCTTATGTCTAAATAGGTTTTGGCTGTCACAAAGGGCCCTTCTGCACTGACTATACAATGAAGCTCAAGGCTACTGAGCTTCAATGAAGCTATGGTGGCCAAAAAACACATGCGATCAATACATGTTGAAGCATGTATCTAAGGGTATACTAAACATTTTTAAAGACTTGGGAAAGTCCATGTTCAGACAAAAAAATGCAGTGAAACAGATGCCAGTGTACCCAAATCCAGGATAAAATCAGCTCCAGGAGGTAACCTTTCAGATGTTTTCTGGATGTGTCCTGGCCTTCTCGTTCTGTAATTGGCTAACCACTGCAGCACCCATAACTATACAATCAGGCTTCCTTCAGGTCGGTGAGAGCACAGATGAGCACCCTCTGTCAGCTCCAGCTCCCCATGCGGGGACATGAGAGAAGCCTCCCACGAGGATGGTAAAACATAAAAAACATCCAGGCATCCCCTGGGCAATGTCCTTGCAGACAGCCAATTCTCTCACACCAGAAGCGACTTGCAGTTTCTCAAGTTGCTCCTGACATGAAAAAAAGGTTGGTGAAGAGTCCAGTTCAACAGAGTTATGAGACATCTTTTTTATGTTTCGTCAGTCCAAGAACCTGCTAAGAGGAGGGCGATGAGTGTGTGAATAATCATAGAATCATAAAATCGTGGCACTGGAAGAAACCACAAGGGCCATCTAGTCCAACTAGATGCCATGCAAGAACACACAACTAAAGTCGTTTTGAAAGATGGCCATTTAAGGACTACCAAAGGAAAATCCAGACACACAAACCTCAAGAAAGTTTAGCTTACTGAAATAGTAAGCAAATTCTAATCTTTAGCTGGAATTTGAACCTATTGCTTCATGTTCTAATGCAGCAAGTTCTTCAAGCATTTGGGCTCCAGGCAGTAAAATTGAGGGCAGGAGAACAACTATAGAAATGTATCTATAGGAACATCCCATTATCACATGTGCTGGCCTACAGCTCCTGTCATCCCAGATGTGAGTGGGGAGAGTTGTCGTTCAACACATTGCAAAGGTCCTAAAGAATCAATTCTAGCATAAGAAGATGAAAAAGAGGAGGGGGGATTCAGCACATGTAGTTCAACATGCAAAGATGGGGGAAAGATACACAAGGTAAAATAATAAACCAAAATAATAAACCAAACCTTTCTTCTATCCATCTACTAAAGTGTCACCACCCAACTTTGCAGATTCTTGGTTATACTGGCTGGGCCTCATCAGTGGTGACTGGTGGCTCTAGTGTCATTCAGATACAAATCTGCTCCAGGTTTAACCCATTAACCCCCCGGTGTGCTAACAGGTTGGAAGTTCGAGTCTGGGGATGAGCTCTCTCTGTCAGCTTTAGCTCCCCATGCGGGGGCATGAGAGAAACCTACCCCAAGGATGGTAAAACATCAAAACATCCAGGCATCCCCTGGGTGGGCAATATCCTTGGAGGCAGCCAATTCTCTCACACCAGAAGTGACTTGTAGTTTCTCAAGTCGCTCCTGACATGGAAAAAAATTGACACAAAACCAAATGCAAAGTTGGAACCAATTGTTTTGGACATATATTTACACTAGTTCCTCTTATGCCATTTCCCCCTTGTCTCTTTTTTTCTTACATTTTAAAATACATTATCCCTTAGTGATTTGTTTTCTTTATTAAATATTGTTCTAACAAGACCCGGGAATGGAGAGGCAGGTGTTGCTGGTGGGAGGGTCTGGTTCAAGGGCAAACAGAATGGAGAGAGAGAAAAGAGTTGCTGATCAGAAGAAGAGCAGAAGCCAGAAGAGTTTCACATGAAGGAATTACTCTGGCAAGGCAACCAGATACCCGTTCTTTTCACATGCAGACAGCATACAGTGGAGGGCAAAAGTTCACCTCTCAAAAATTTGGCAAACACCCAGATTGGTGCCAGGCAGTTAGGGCTTTTCCCAGGGCAACAGAAAGAGTGGCAGAATGTTCTTCACAATAAAAGTCAGAACCCCATCCATACCCCAATTTCATAGTCTCATCTCACAATCTGGAGTTGTAAGGATTTCTGCAATTTTTAAACATTTTTCTTTGCAGGATGAGGACAACTATCCCTGTGTTTATCAACTCTTGAAGCCTGGGTGAACGGGCAGTGTGTTTAAGGCAGCGTTTCTCAACCTGGGGGTCGCGACCCCTAGAGGGGTCGCCGGGCCATTTCAGAGGGGTCGCGGCCCCATGTCCATTGGCCCCGCCCCCTCCACCAGGCTGCGCAGTGCTGCCTCGGTCGCCTGGCTGTGGCCAGCTTTCGCCGCTTGCCAGGCCCGACGGGCGGCGCGAACCAGGCAAGGGGCTTCCCACCAGGCCAGGCCAGGCTGTGCTGCCTCCCTCACCTGGGTTGTGCCGCCTGCCGGGTCTGTCAAGCGGCAAAAGCCAGGC